GCTCAGAGTGTTTCAGACGTATTCAGAGTAGCTGCAGAAAAAAGTGTGTGTCGGCAGAGGTGCAACCAACAGATGCAAAGTCATGAATGACTCTATAGAACACCCTGAAGAATTGAGGCTTTGCTTTGTGATCCATGGAAGCCACTGAAGGGTCTTGAGCAAGAGCATGTGTATCAGAGAATTCTTGCACCACTATAAAGAAATACCTGAGACTGGGTAATCTATAAAGAAAGGAGGTTTAACTGACTCACAGTTCCACAGGCTGTACAGGAAGCATGATGCTGGCTTCTGGCAAAGGGAAAGCAGGCCTGTCTTACCAAAGGGGGAAGGGAGAGAAAGAGGGGAAGTGCCACACACTTTTAAACGACCAGATCTTGTGGTAACTCAGTATCACAAGAAAGGCACCAAAGGGGAAATCTGCCCCCATGAACTAATCACCTCTCACTAGGACCCACCAACATTGAGGATTACAATTTGACATGAAATTTGGGCAGGGAGAAAGACCCAAACCATATCAGCATGGTAATGAGTTTCATTCTATAGAAAGATGGTATATTAGTTTTTAGGGCTGCCATAACCAGTGATCACAAATGGGTAGCTCAAAACAACAGATATTTCTTCTCTCCCAGCTAAGAGGTAAGAAGTCCAAAACCAAGATGTCAGCAGGGTTTGTTCCTTCTGGAAGCTCTCATGTTCCATGCCTCTCTCCCAGCTTCTGGTGGCTCCTGCAATTCTTGGTGTTTCTTGGCTTGTAGCCTCATCACTCCAGTCTCCACTTCCATCTCCACATGGCATTCTCCTTCAACATGTGTCCTTTTCTATTTTTGTTTTTGAGACGGAGTCTCGCTCTGTTGCCCAGGCTGGAGTACAGTGGCTCGATCTCAGCTCACTGCAACCTCTGCCTCCTGGGTTCAAGCGATTCTCCTGCCTCAGCCTCCCGAGTAGCTGGGATTACAGGCGCCCACCACCTCGCCTGGCTAATTTTTGTATTTTTAGTAGAGACTGGGTCTTGCCATGCTGGCCAGGCTGGTCTCGAACTACTGACCTCAAGTGATTCACCCGCTTCAGCCTCCTAAAATGCTGGGACTACAAGCGTGAGCCACTGCACCTGGCCTTATCCTCTCCTTTTCTTGTAAAGACACCAGCCATCTGACTTAGGGCCTAATTTAGTATGACTTTTCTTGACTAATTACATCTGCAAAGGTAATATATAAGGTCCCATTCTGGGTGGATGTGAGTTTCAGAGGGACACTATTCAACTCACTCCAGATTGTGTAGAGGTGAGAGTGGTAGTGGGAACCTAGGAGACCAGCTGGAAAGCCAGCCCCACAGAGGGGAAATGGGTCATGGATGCAGCAGTGGAACAGTGACCCACTGTCATACCAAGGACTTTGCATGGGCCCTTTCCCAGAAAGAAGGGGGTCATAATGACACAGTGAGTCCCATTAGAAGGGACCTCAAAGATCAAATTGGGCCAGGCACGGGGGCTCATTCCTGTAATCCCAGCACTTTGAGAGGCCGAGGCAGGAGGATCACTTGAGGCCAAGAGTTTAAGACCAGCCTAAGCAATATAGCGAGACCCAGTCTCCACAAAAAAATTTAAATAATTAGCCAGGGGTCTGGTGTGTGCCTGTGGTCCTAGCTACTCAAGATACTGAGGCAGGAGGATCACTTGAGCCCAGGAGTTCCAGGCTGCAGTGAGCTGTGATGGCACCACTGCCCTCCAGCCTGGGCAGCAGAGCAAGACTCCATTGCTTTAAAAAAAATCAAATTGCTCACTTTTCCTTTTCACTGATAAAAGTGGTCATGGACACTATTAAGTGGTGAAACTAGCATTTTACAATTAGATAATCTGTCTTGAGGATCCCTTTATAGTCTTAAGATTGTTTAATTCATACTGACTCTTTGTAGGAAGGTTTAGTTTAGGCCTTAAAGAGCTGAGAAGCTTATTGGCAGAGCCCATAATTGTCTTAATAGACAGCATTTATTAAGCACACACTAAATGCCAGGTACTATGCGGGGTACCTAGAATTCCTTAGCTATAATTCTCATACCTCTAAAAAGAAAGGCAATATTATGAATGTCTCCTTTCTACAGATGAGGAAATTGATGCATGGGGAGGTTCTAACTTGCCCAGAGTCACACAGTGATGACGCTGACCTGCAATTTAGGGCCATGCAATGCCAAAGGAAGTTTTTCAAACAAACAAAAACTATTAAGAAAAAAATAGAGGATGAAGGGCAGAGGATTATGAATATTTCAATTCAAGAGGCCCCAATTTATCTTGATCCCAAAGAAGAAGTCTTCATTTATCCTAGCTTAGGATAAAGAACCAGCTCTGGAAGCCTGCATGACAAACTGGGGTCACCCTCTTAGTTCATGGGGTGCTTAAAAGGAGATGCACCCAGGACCCAGATGGGCATCCTCCTGCTGAAACAGGGAACTGGGATCCAACTTAATTAATCTTCTTCTCACTGCCAACATTTCCCTTGCCCTCCCATCTGTTCTTTTCTCCAGGGATTAAGGGACCTTTACAGTTCCAGCTCATTCAGAATAAAGTTCCTTCAAATGAGTGGCCAATTTCATTTTTTTCCTTTGAGCCTGACATGCAGAGCCAGCTGTTGACTTAGGAAACTCTGCCAACAGCGCCTGTCGGGTGCAGACCTCATCTGGTGTCTGCTTGGGATTTTCCTTTTAATTATAATTATACTTCAAAGGGAATCTGGAACTTGCAGAGCCAAAGATCAAAGCCTCAAGAGGGGCTATGTTCTCCCTAACAGTCCCCAACAGGGCTCTGAAGACAGGGGAAGGGAAGGATGTAGGTGATGCCATCAGCCTGGCTAACCTCAGCCCTCCCACATTGCACCCTGTGTTCATGTGGCTGCCACCGGGCATCCAGCTTAGCCAACTGGTCCCTTCAGTGTGGCCAGAGTAGGAAATTACCTATGGGGTATGATCTGAGGATGGAGCAGCATAGTCCACACTAAAACATACCCCTACACACCAAAACTTGCTACTTGCCTAAGATTATACCATTTGCCAAGCACCCTTTTAGATTAAGTATCGTGCACTCCATGCTCTCCATTTTCAAGGTGAAAATGCTACTAAGCTAGCGATGCCATGTGTCACTCCCACCTTAGTATAAATTAGCCTACAGGTTGGTTTCCATAGTTCAGAGCAGCATGAGGATATTTAGCACTGGGTGGAGGAAGATGATTGGTGGAGAAGAGTAAATATTTCAATATCGCTGAAAGGGGAAAGAAATGAAGGAAACCAAAATGTATTAAGTACCTACTGTGTGATAGTCTTTTACATATGTGATATTATTTGTTTTCTTAGCAACCCTCTAAAGTTGGCATTATCACTCACATTTTGTAGTTGTCTCTCCCCTCCAAGTTGAGTTTAATCCAGTGGTTCTCAGACTTTAACATAGGAATGCCTGAAAGTGGAGATTCCTTGGTCCACACCAGAGGTTCTAATTCACCTGATCAGAATGTAGTCCATGAATTTGCAGGTGTAATAAGCTCCCAAGTGATGCTACTGGCATTGGTTCATGGACCACAGCTTGAGCAGCACTGGTCTTGGCCAGTCATAGCTGTCTTATTCGCTTAGCCAACAACTGGTTCAAATGATGGGCATCCCGGAGCCCCTTTGGGCCAATGGGTAGGGGAAAGAAGCCTTGACCCTGGTTGCTGCCAGAAGCCACTTTACAACCATGAGGGGAAGATGTCTAAGGATGAGGCTAATTCTGTGGGCAATTGACTCTGTGCAGAGCTCAGTGACATGACAGACCTTCAAAGTCAACCCTGAAATCCCAAATCCTACTCTGTACTTCTTCTTACATGGAGTAATAAATTTCCTTATGTGTAAGCAAGAGTGAGTGGAGTTTCCTGTTACTTTTGGGTCAAAGACACTATCAACATTCTCAGATGAAGAAAGAGGGTCTTGGTCCAAGGCCCATGGTCACAGAGCTGGTTACCCAGGTCTGTGTAATGCCAAGTGTCCTTCCAATTTATCACACTGTCTGAGTGGTTTTCTCTCCCAATACCTGATGTGACTCCCCATCTACTTTGGCACAAGCATTTGAGACCAGACCCATCTAATCTCCTACCAACAAGAGATTCAGGATCCCATTCATCCATCCAACTGTCCATCCATCTGTCCATCCATCCATCCTTTCATTCATCAAGCATTTATCCAGCACTTGCCGCATATCAAATCCTATACTCAAGGCTGTGGATCTATTGCAAGACAAGACGTAATCTTAGCCCCGAAGGAGCTCAGATCTAGAGAAAGAGACAGCCCCACAATCTCAGCATCTCTTTCTACATTCAAGACACGGGCATTGAGGTCAGCCTATGGATGTCCAGATGTCCAGTTGTTGTGGGTTTCTAAGATGTTGGCAGATAATAAAAGCTCAGTCTTCGTTTGTTTGACTCAGATAGATTTATCCACTTTTGGAAGGTTGAATTTATTTTAACATCAGTAAAGCAATTCAAGTATCCTCAATAATGGATATCATATAAATATTCAACCATCACATTTCTCTGTTTATAAAGCTTCAAAGCGCACAGCACATTGTAAAGCTGCTAATTAATTCTTGTAACGCCCTGGTGTCATGAGCAAAAGGCAGATAATAACCCTATTTTACCAGTGGGACCAATGGCCGCTGTAATTCAGCAACTAGCCTGTGGTCATGTGGCAGATCACCTGCATTTTATACCTTCATTAACAGCACAGTTTATTAATTGTAACAATTACATTCACCATTAACATTTATTGAGAGCCCCCATAAACCTGGCTCTGTCCTGAGAACTTTATACACACATCACCTCGTTGATTCTCCATCATAGGCCTATGAAGTAGGCTCTGTGATTATTCTCACCTTGCACACAGGGAAACTGAGGCTCAAAGAGTAATCTTATCTGCCAAAGACCTGGCTGGTGAACTCAGGTCTGTATAACTCCAAATCCCATACCCTGCCCTTTGACTTATTGCACCTGCTGGGTGACATGTTGGGAGGAGAGGATCGTGTATTCTTCCATTCCTTTGCTGTGTGACATTAGGAAAATTCTCCAGCTTCTCTGAGTCTTGGATTGCACATCTGTTGGTGAAGCAGAGAGAGTACAAGCTTTAGAGCCAAAGTGCAGTTTGTGTTTGAACCCCACCTCTGTTCCTTACTCTGTCATGTAACTCTGGAAATTAACCTCTCTGGACCTCTGTATTCTCTTCTGTAAAACAGAGATAATGGCAGCCCTATCCCACAAAATATATTGCAAGGGTAAATGGAATTAACATGTGTAAAACTAAGTGGGTAGCACATAGTATGCACCTAGTAAGACACTTAGTGGTAAATGGCAGCTGTTTTTAGTGTGTCTGTCATGTGATGGAGGTGTCATGTTGGGTAATCTCTCAATGCTGATGATCTCCGATAATTTTTAGACGAAAGATCTCCCATGGATTTTGGTTTAGCCACAGGGAACTAATGTAACTCTCCAGGGGTGTAGTTTGGGGTTATCTCGACAAAAATATTTGCAATATGCTAACAAAATTATGGTCAAATCAAGATCCTGCTAGTCGCAAATGATAGAAAACCCCAATTCAATGTGGCCTACACAAAAGAGAAAACTATCTTCAAACATTATCTCCAGATACATACTCTTCTTTCTCCTGTGTTGCCTTCATTCTCAGACAGGCTTTACCAAGTTGATGGCCAAGATAGTCACCAAGAGCTCTAGGCTGACATTCTTCCATGGGAGCAACCCCAGCTGAAAGAGACCTTCTCTTTCCCAAGAGCAGCAGCAAATGGCCTGAGACTAAATACTTTGGTCTTTCTTTGGGTCTCAGACTCATAAAAAACTAAGATCCTCCCTGAAGCCAGGGAGGTGGAATATTCTGACTGACTGGGCCTGCATCCAGTGTTCACCTCTGAAGCCACATGGATGGAAGGTGAGATAGGAAGGCTCCCCTGGGGAGTTGATTGGCATGTCTATGCCTTGGAGGAGACTAGTACAGTCTAGCTGCCAGTCTGCAGATTTCCTGGGCTTGGAGTCTAAGAGCATAACGTAGAGCTTTAATCACCAAGTTGCAAATTTCCTGGGCTTGGAGTCTAAGAGCATAACATTGGGCGTTAATCACACAGCTACAAATTGGTGTTCCACTCCCAATCACAGTGGCCTGGGGAGAGTCCCAGCAGCCATGATCAATCCCCTCAGCCCATCTTCCCCCTGTGCCCTCAGCATAAAATCCCAGATGCCAGCTGTTGTCACATTCATGATTTGGCCCTTCCTGCAGCTCCCTGGTTCCTCACCCCTCCCCTCCACCAACCCTATTGGGATGCTCCAGCTGGACTGAGCCACCTTCACTATCAAGCTCTCACTCACCTCCATCCCAATCTTTGCAAATGCTATCCCCTCTGCCTGGCACATCTTCCTCCTTCCTCTTCTTTTATTTATTTTTTCAACTGAAAAATGAAAAATTGTATATATTTATGGCATACAACATGATGTTTTGATGTATGTATACATTGGGGGATGATTGAATCAAGCTAATTAACATATCCATCACCTCACATACTAATCATTCCTCATCCTTCAGAAATGTAAACGAAAAGTCATTTCGTTTAGGCCAGGCATGGTGGCTCATGCCTAGAATCCCAGCACTTTGGGAGGCCGAGGTAGGCAGATCACTTGAGGTCAGGAGTTCGAGAACAGCCTGGCCAACATGGCGAAACTCCGTCTCTACTAAAACTACAAAAAAGTTAGCTGGGCATGGTTGCACATGCCTGTAATATCAGCAACTTGGGAGGCTGAGGCAGGAAAGTCACTTGAACCTGGGAGGCTGAGGTTGCAGTGAGCCGAGATCACCCCACTGCACTCCAGGCTGGATGACAGAGTAAGATTCTGTCTCCAAAAAAAGAGTCATTTTGTTTATCCTTCTGACTGTCCCTCTACCCTTGCTGGGTCAGTTGTGCGCTCACACCCCCAGCTCCCTCACTCCCACCACAGCTACATCATATGGTATCGTAACTGCTTTATTGTCTGCCTACCTCCCCCTCACCACCCTGCCATCAGTGAGACTCTGAGAGGGAGTTTTGGGGTGGGTGTGTGTTTCCTAGCTCTTAGCTGGGACCCCCAGAGGGGATCAGGAAGACCTTTCTGAATGGGGAAATATCTGGACACTGAGGATGATTTATTGACAAGTCCACAGGTCAGAAGAGCAAGGAGCAAGGCACCAAGTATGAGCCAGACTTGAGAAGGTCCTGGTTAGTTGCCAAGAGACCCCAACAGGGATGAGGACAGGGAGGGCTCTTGGAGGTTAGGCAGATAGGGCACTCTTGAATCTCAGCTCTAGGTAAGATCTTAACCCAGCTCCAGAACAATAAGAGATCTAGAAGGTTGTGCCCAGCAGTGCCCCTTAGAGACAAAGATCCTCACCTCTCCCTCCCCAAAGGCACATGGAGATGGTTTGAAAGAAATCTTTGCAGTTCCCACAAAAAGCTTGTGCTCTGCAAACAAAACTGCTCCCTCACTTACCTTTGTGGCGTTTGGCTCACCTCCTTCTAATTTGCATGATGAACCTGCTTGGGTCTCTGATTAGCCCCAGGAAAGCATGAAAATGAGCATTTGACATCATCAAGGGCATCCACGCCTGCACCTCTTTGGAGAAAGGGGCTCCTCTATTCAGGCTTTCACGTTTGAAAATAATGAGCAAGTTCAGCTCATTTCTCCACCCCAGGCTGCAAACTGCAGTCTTCTGTCTCCGTGCACACCCCCAGGAACCGTGTTTGCTAACGATGAAGAGGAAAGTATTTTGCTTTTCAAACAAGCCTGAACCCCAATTAGTTTCTCAGAGACTTGATCCTCATTGGTGGCAACTGTGGTTTCTCATCCAGCGTTGTTATTGATTTGGTCAGAAGTAATTAAGGAGATAATTCTTACTCAATTACATTTCCCTGAATTTCCTGAGGTTGCTAACTCTGTTCCCCGGCTGTATTTTCTTTTCCAAATTAATTTTGTCTTGACTCTGAAATGAGCATGGATATGACAAGGCTTGTTGTGCTTGTTGATTTTCGCAGGAACAAAGTAGGGCTCTGTATTTTAATGCCAACTAGGGCTATCAAACTCTCTTAGTTTTTAGAAAATTAATGTAAAACATACACAGATTTTAAAATATACATATATCATCAAAAATCTTCTACTGTAAAGCAGGAGTCTCTCTTCCCTGCCCTCTTCTCATCCTTGATGGCATACCTCAGGGCAGCCATGTCTAACACTTTTTGCTACTTCTTCCAATGACCTGTGCCTCTAAATTATATGTTACCTGTGTTTCTTAGTTTATGCATTTAAGATTTGAATAATTTTCTGCTGCGAAAGATGAGGATCTAGTTCCTGCATCCCCACACCACTCCCCACCCCAACTCCCATCCCTCCAAAAGTAGCCTTACCTTTAGCTCCCCTAGTGGTTAATTCTGTAATTTAAAAATACAGATGAGGCCAGGTGTGGTGGCTCACGCCTGTAATCCCAGCACTTTGGGGGGCCAAGCTGGGCGGATCAACTGAGATTGGGAGTTCAAGACCAGCCTGATCAACATGGAGAAACTCCATCTCTACTAAAAATACAAAATTAGCTGGGAGTGGTGGCACATGCCTGTAATCCCAACTACTCAGGAGGCTGAGGCAGGAGAATCACTTGAACCGGGGAGGTGGAGATTGTGGTGAGCAGAGATTGTGCCATTGCACTCCAACCTGGGCAACAAGAGGGAAACTGTCTCAAAACAAACAGAATATATATACATATATATACACACACACATACACATATATACACGCATCTCTATATATACACACACACACATATACACGCATCTCTATATATATACACACACACACACATATAGAAAGAGAGAGAGAGAGAGAGATGATACATTTGTGCTTCTTGCCTCATCCACCCTACAGAGTGTCTTTGACTCCTTCCTTTGTGGAAGAGATGAGGGTCTCATCAGCTCTCCTTGCGTCTTTACTACTATTTTTACATTGTCAAGATCAATAGCATTCACATGCCATACCCATAATTCAGTTTCCCAGGCTTTGTCTCTGAGTTTTCTAAAAGTTGAAAAATCAACACATATTGAAGTTTTATTTTCATCCCTTCATCCACTCACTGAACAAATAACTGCCAAGAAGCCACTCTTCGTTTGGCATTGTGCCTGAAACCAAAAACACAACGTGACAAGGTCATACTCCTCGCACACATTGCAGTGCTAGAATCCAGAGGGGGAGAGAGAAAACACAGAATTTAATGTAAGAGGAATAGCTGCTTAAATCAGTGGTTTTGAATATGTTTAAAATATGAATACAAAACGTAATAAAAAGGTAAGCTCAATATAGCAAAAAAAAAAAAAAAAAGGTTTTAAATTGGAGCGGCTTGGTTTTCTTTTTACTTCATAAATATAAGCCAAGTCTTGGTGCTCCAGCCTCACCCACTTACCTACATACCCCCATTGATCCTCAGGCTGAAGCCAGAGCACCAGAGGATACAATACACTAGAGTTTCTATACTTCCTCCAGGGACTGAGAGATGGTGACAGGCATCACGGTTGCATTTTGGTTTCATGTTTATAGAGCTCCTTCATCAGCAGTGAGTCTTTATAGCATTCAATGTTCATAACACACTGGCTGGAAATACCACTTTAAGGACAGCTGAGGACAAGTATCTTCTCATCATGACAGGTGCCAGAACAGTCACCATGATGCCAGTGGGGTGAGCAGAGAACACCGAGGGGACATCCAGGGCCATAGAGGGGTACATTCTGACTGCCCTTGGCATGAATGTCCCATCCAGGTGGGGTGTGTGTACGTAAGTGGAGCATGACAACACCAGAAGCCAGGTGACCAAGTTCAGTGGGAAAATTAAAATTATAAGATGATGTATGTGGTCAGGCACTGTGGCTCACACCTATAATCCCAGCACTTTGGGAAGCCAAGACAGGATGATTACTTGAGGCTAGGAGTTCAACACTAGCCTCGGCAATATAGGGACAACTCACCTCCACAAAAAAGAAAGAAAGAAAAAAATTTAATTAGCCAGGCATGGTGGCACATGCCTTGGTCCCAGCTACTTGGGAGGCTCAGGAAGGAGGATCACTTGAGCCCAAGAGCTCGAGACTGCAGTGAGCCATGATCGTGCCACTGCGCTCCAGTCTGGGTGACAGAGCAAAACCCTGTCTCAAAAATAAATTAATTAATTACTAAAAACATGTTGTATCTATCCAAGCACACATGCATGCGTATGTACCAATTAAGAAAGCCCCAGATTGTTCTTCTACTTGCTTACTTTGCAAACGACCCCGTAGTTGTTTTACTTAATGATCACCACTGGGTTCATTTCCTGACTCTGTAGTTATATGCAGTCACTCTGCCCCTCCATGCCTTGGTAGTGATTTTTTTTTAACCTATACAATGGGCACTTGAGAAGGTGTATTTCTTATGGTCTTGCCCAGACTAACAGTTAGCAAATGGCAGAGCTGGGATTTAAAACCAAATCTGTCTGAATCTAAAGTCTGTGCTTTTCAGTACTACAATCTACTGTCTCCTGTGGTAGTTCAGTTATGGAATGATCTTGTTTACAACCAAGTCATGCCCAGGCCATGGACAAAAAAAATAAATTAAATTAAAAATAAAAAGGTTTTCTATGCTTTATTTTATTAAAAATGAAAAGGTGTTTTTAAATGCATACGGGAGCCAGGTAATAGCTCACACCCTGAAACAGACCAATGCATTTTTCTTGCCAATAGGGGAGACTGATACAGTCAAAGAAGTGCTATTAATTTTGTGACTAGCCCCTAAAGAGAAAGTAAATGAGTTTATGTAACCCAAATCATCAACTGTTTCTTGTGGGGAGTTTATTACTGTATAGCTGTATTTCAGTTACATATTTCCATGTGACAAATTACTCTAAACCTTAGCAGCTTAAGGCAACAAACATTGATTATCTCATAATCTCTGTGGGTCGGGAATCTAGGCACAGCTTAACTGGGAGCCTCTGGTTCAGGATCTCCTGAGGCCACAATGAAGATGGCAGCTGGGCCTACAGTTATTTCAAGACTCAACAGGGAGACGGCTCACTCCTGAGCTCACACACTTGGCTACTGGCTGGTATCAAGCGCTTTCTGGCTGTAGCGTAGAGATGTATTAGGTTGGCGCAAACGTAATTGTGGTTTCTGCCATTTGAAAGTAATAGCGAGAACCGCAATGATGGTGGACCTCTCCCAAACAGAAGCTCACAACTTGGAAGCTGTTTTTTACCCAGATCAAGAGCAGGTGCCCAAGACAGAAGCCATGTTTATCCTGTAACCTCATCTCAGAAGGGACATTGCATCACTTTTGCCATATTCGAGTCATTAGAAGTGAGTTACTGGGCTCAGCCCAACCTCCAGGGGAGGGGATTACACAAGGGTATGAGTACCAGGAGGTGGGGATCCTGGCAGGTATCTTAGAGGCGGCCTACCACAGACTCCGGTATAAGGGAAAGTAAAACCTAGATCCTGATCCTCACCAACCTAGGTGCTGGGTGCCCCAGGATCTCCAGGAGAAATAAAAACAGAGCACTTGTCTTGGCAACAGTGTTGCTCAACCTCAGCACTCCTGAAAATTTGGAGCTGATACAGCTTTGTGGGGGAAGGACTGTCCCATACGTTGTAGGATGTTTAGCAGCATCATGGGCATCTACTTACTAGATGCACCCTCCCCCACCCCAGCAAGTTGTGACAGCCTAAAAGAACTTCAATAACACCTCGGAAAGTTGCCTGGTTATCTACTGAAGGTCTCCCTTGCAGTGAAGAAGAGGAGGCATTGCAGCCACCAGGCAGCAGCAAGCCCTTAACGAATGACATCTTTATTGTCCCCAAAATGTGCTGCAGCCCTCACACCAACAAACAATTAAGAAATGCAAAAAGATAAATGATTTGACATTTTGCAAACATAGAAGACTGTGATTTCACTCAATATCCATTTTCTTGTGTTCTAATAAAACTTTATTCACAGAAACAGGCAGGCTTTTCTGTATCTTCTTGGTCCTCTGTGTTCCTTGACAATTTTCCCCTGTGTCAGTCTCTGGCCTTCTAATCTTCATAATCTTAGTATCCTCTTCTCCCCTCCTCCTTCCATGGCCCCCCCTCTCTGTCTCTTTCTGTCCCTGTCTGCCTGCCTCTCTCTGTGTGTCTCCTCATTCTTTCTCTCTCTCTGCCCCCTTTCCCCACCTCCCTCTCTGACAGCTAATTCAACACTCCTTACCTTAACTTCCAATTCCATCCTCTTCTCACAGTTCCAATCCATGCATTAATGATAGGCTCTTAGCCACCATTCTTGTTCCCAGATTCAGCTCCAAAGACTCAAGAGTTTGGCATCCACCTGCTCCAGCCTCCCTATAGTCCCACGATACTCGATACGGACACTCTCCAAGATACATTGTTATGTGAGGGGAAATCAGGGCACAAACAATGCTGCCACGTGTATTTGTGTGAAAGGTAGATGCTAGTGTTGGAAAGAATGTGTGTGTGTAGGTGAGTGTGTGTGTGTGTGTTTCCAAATCTCTCTGGAAGGATACACAAGAACTCGGTAACACTAGTCATTTCCAGGCAGAGAAATGAATGGTTTGAGGACAAGATGGAAGTAATACATTTTAAAAAGTGATGTACCTTTTGATATGGTTTTTAAACCATTTGAAAATACTACTTGCTTTAAAAAAAAACTAAAGTAATAAAAAATGCAATGACAGAAAACGCAATGTTTCATCTTCATTTATTCACTGGGCCCTCACCCCTAAGTTGATTTTCCTGAAATGGCTTCTCAGCACCATTACCAGCTCCAGGAATGTTCTCTCCTGCCTGGTGACATCAGGAAAACCTTCATCACCACACCCCAAAACACACACACAAACACACACATCCCATACTCTGCATTCCAACCATTCCAGCTCCTTCCGGTTCCTTCTGTCTGAAACACCTATAGGGCAGAAAAAGTAAAACCCTTTACCTCACCAATCACAAGGGTCTTGGATGACATCCCCATAACAAAATACCTATTAATCAGAGAAAAGCATAACAATTTTTTTCGAGACAGAGTCTTGCTCTGTCGTTCAGGCTGGAGTGCAGTGGCATGATCTCGACTCACGGCAGCCTCCGCCTCCTGGGTTCAAGTGATTCTCCTGCCTAGTCTCCCGAGTAGCTGGGACTACAGGTGCACGTCACTCCACTACGCTCAGCTAATTTTTGTACTTTTTTAATAGAGACAGGGTTTTGCCATGTTGGCCAGGCTGGCCTCAAGTGATCCGCCCACCTCAGCCTCCCAAAGTGCTGGGTTTGCAGGCGTGAGCCACTGCGCCCAGCCAAATTTATTTTTTTAACCAAAGTTTTACGTAACATGGGAGCCTTCAGAAATGGAGACCCAAAGACCTAGGGAAAATTGTGTTTTTATGCTAAGTCTGATGAGAAGAGTGGATAGTGGTAGACAAACATGATTGGACAAAAAGGGGTG